CTTTCTATACAATATTTATTTACATTGCTTACAGTTTATCAATGTCCGGGCTTCTTCTATTGACAATTATACCCTAGCAAATACCTTCAGTGTCTTGAAGATTCATTCTGTGCCTGATCCCAAGAAAGATCGTTAATTCTTTAAACCTTGACAGTCTTCCGTCCTGGATATGAGGAAGGTGATTTTTTTCCCCCGTGTATTCTTTGCCTATAACCAGTCTTACCATGGAGAATTTTCCCATGCAAACTCTGTTGTTTGAAGAGCCAGTGCAAGTGGTGACCCTTCCCTTCTGCGATAATACCTTCTTGCCTGTTAAATAGTAACTGACCTCTCTTCTTCACTCTGCAATCCCTTTTATCGTGTTTCCGTCAGTGAAATGACCATACTACACATCTTTATGTAACAGCTAGCCCAGAGAAGAACCTGAGTTGCACCAGTCACAACATTTTCTCCAGCTGCAATCTGGCAAGCTGATCCGATCATTGCCATTCTCTGTTTGTCTAACTGCCCCCTCATACGTAGACTGTAACGTGTTGGTGACCATACATTTCCACAGATGTCCATTTGTCACCTTCAAGAACATCTTCCATAATCACAGGGGAAAAAGAGACATTGAAACTCGTCGCCTGAGTCAGAATTACATGGTGCTGTATCGAGTGGACAGCAAAGAGTGAACGGTTACAGGGATTAAACCTCAGATTGCGGTGTGATGCTATACACATTTTCTGCTTGATTCAGATTGAGCCAAGTACCTTTCACAAAATAATCGGTATCAAATATATTTTTGGCATTTTAATAGTCAAAAGTTTTTCAGATTTAATGTATGTTTCCTACTTTCCAGGTTATAGCCTGCATCCAGAATGGCATAGGTCAAAGTGACTTCGGTTCTCAGCTGCTATATCTGTCTACCTGGATTTAGAGATGTTTCAGTGGTTCAAACCTATTAAAATAATCTATGAACAGCCTACCTCTGTCCTACAGACGGGAATAAAATGGGAGGTGAAAGAAATACATGCTTGCTCAGGGCTGCCATTTTAAATTTGCCTGGGGAATCAAGTGGCCAGAGGGTAAAGGTACCTATGTAAGTTTTACTAGAAGCAGTTCACCAACAGCCTTGACCTTCCAGTTATGACAGCTTCTGCATTATGGAGCTGAAATGCCTAGTGTGATTTTGTAATCTTTCACACAAAAAAAAAAAGGTATCAGCCTGGTTCCATTTACTTTGCACCCTCCCTTCAGGTATCTGTACACATTGACAAGGTGCCCCTGAGCCTTCTCTTCCCTAGGTCGAACTGTCCCACCTCTCCCAGCCTCTCCTCACAGTGAGATGCTCCAAACCCTTAAACATCTTTGAGGCCTTTTGTTGGAGTCTCTCCAGTATGTCTGGGCCTCTCTGGTACTTGGGACCCCAGAGCGAGATACGGCACTCCAGGTGTGGCCTCGCCCACACAGGGGAGGGATCATTGCCCTGAACCTGCTGGCAACACTCCTGATGCAGCCCAGGATACCTGCTGCCAGGGCACACTGCTGGCTCGTATCCGTCTTGGGGTCCCTACTGCAGTGATTTTGTATCATCGATGTACAGAAAGTTAAAAGATCCATATACTTTCCTGTCACCAGTTTCTTTTAGGCATATTGCTTGGGTTTACCCCATGACTGTCAGCTTTGGGCACAGGAAGTTTTGAGCCATTGCAGATATGACTGTAGGTTTTGGTGCAGTTGTATATTAGGGTTTTACAGTCCTACCTCGCATTTGGCTGCAGTGAGGAAACCTTTCTGTTCCTCCCGTCTGCTCACTGTTGTAAGCCTGTACCAGCAAGCGATTTACTGAAGCTGTCTGTTCGCACCAATCCTGAAAAGCCTGACCTTCACACCTGTGCTTTGTAGGTCATAGTGGAGAAGGTCTCGGGATCTCAGATTGTTGATATTGACAAGAGGAAGTACTTAGTTCCATCTGACATCACCGTGGCCCAGTTCATGTGGATCATCAGGAAGAGGATTCAGCTGCCATCTGAGAAAGCAATATTCCTCTTTGTAGACAAGACTGTCCCACAATCCAGGTGAGAGGCTATTCACTTGGTATTCAAAATCCTTTCAGCAAACCTGCATATCAGGACAGTAACTCCCCTTTTTGAGGCTTATCTTGTGATTTTGGAAGATGTTTCGTTACCTCTTAATCTTGCCGCGACGTTTGGGTTTTTTTATCGTGAGTTTGATAAACTTATTTCTTGAGCTAGGCTGAAAGAAAAAGTGACTGAAGAATATGTTATCATTTACTTCCATGGTAAGAGGGTGAGCTTTGGAGTTAGCATGGTAGTGCAAGAACATTTATGTCATCAATGCCAACAAAAAAAATCCTTCTCAGTGTACCAGGAAAGTTGCATGTTAAATATTCAAAAGCAAACAGCATAACTTATTCTGAAAGAAAGAGTAACCTGTCAGCTCACAAAGAAATTATGACATTACAGAGTAGTTGCTGTTACATTTTAAAAATTACCTATTTTCTTCTATAAACACAAAATGCAAAATTACATAGAAAAGGTTTTCACATTGCTTTTATATAGAAATAAGTTTCATTGTTGTCTGCTACATAGAGAATAACATATGGCAGAAGCAGCTACTACAGCTCTTTCTGTATGAGATACTTTTATAGTATTTGAGGATATAGTGCTTTGTGCTGTTACATGGCTTAGATATAATATTATTCTTACTAATCCTTACCCATGTATCGGTAATGGTTCCTCCAGGTAACCTTTACAGATTCAGTTAGGAATTTTATTTACTTTGCGATACACAATTAGGGATCCATGAGAACCATCTTTTTCCATTTACTTTCTTCTGAGAGTATTAGGAATGCCTCCATGTCATCCTTTTAACAGCGCTCTAGAACTGCTAGGAACAGGAAAGGAAAAAAAGGGCACACTGTCTCATCTCACATTCCTGATGAGATGGCAAGAATCAGGCTGTGAACCTTTGATATTAATGCACAAATGGTAATGTAATCTGTTCCTCTGCTCCTCTCCTATGCTGAGTTTATTACACAGACCACTAATTCTTGACATCCTTCTCCCCTCATCCAGAAGTTTATCTACTATTTACCCACTCCCTTACATTTCAAGCACTGCCTGCAATTCTTCCCAGCTCCTCTCTTGAGTATCTGTGATCTATCACCTGCATGCAGTCTGCATCTTTCAGTTCTCGAGCCTTTTCTCAGTCTTGGGAAGTCAAAGAAGGCTGAGCTGAGCAGGCGTCATTTGTGCAGCCGACTGACGTCAATAGCCTGTTCCATCGGGAGATGTAGTACAACTGGAGCAGTGGTACTGGCCAAGAAATTGCTTGGGCTTCTTTTTTTGCTTTCAAAATAGAGACATTACCCTAAAGACTGCAGTTGCTCAGATGGTGAAGGGCCATGCCTATCCAGTTTAAGGAAATTTTCATTTGATCAAACATTCAAAACCTTATCCACTGAAAAAGCACTAGTTTCTGGCTAGCTTGTCATCTGTTGCCCATGCATTTCAGTACTAGCACTATTTTAAGTCATTGCTTTTTAACAATGTAGAAAATAACCCAAACCAACCTGGACTTCAGAGAAACAGTCAGAAAAGCCTAAGTTTAATAGACTTGAGACCAGCTGAACTTTCATGACTACACCAGGTGGAGGAAGAAATGAAATTGGCCACACAAGAAGCAAGACATTAATGTGGCTTCATTCAGGGAAGGTGCTCTCAGGCTATCCATCCTAATATTAGCTGTGGCATCAATAATGGATGAATCAGAACCTGGAGTGCATTTGTTTACAATAAAATCAGGAAGCACTCTGACAAATGCATTTGTGAAGAAGTAACAAAAACCTAGACACTGCAGAGAGCCCAGGATCATTTTGGTAACTCAGGAGTCAACTCCTTTTCATATATCCTCATTTTTTGTATTTTAATTTACACACAGAAGTTTTAGCTTTTATTAATCCTTGTTTATGTGAGGTTCTAACTGTTACCATTTACAACTGACATGATCCAAGAAAACTATTTTTTTTTCCCCTTCAAGCTTAACTATGGGACAACTTTATGAGAAGGAGAAGGATGAGGATGGATTCTTGTACGTGGCCTACAGTGGAGAGAATACATTTGGTTTCTGAATGGTGGTTCTTGGCTACTATACCATCCTGCTGTGTATCTTGTAAATAGCTGATCATGTTCTGTTCTGACATCCATGGAAGTTCCTTCTATATACATGCATTTGTAACTGGATTTATTTCTTAATATATTGATAGGTCTTGTTTTATTAGACTGTTAAATTATAAAAAAAAAAAAGTTTTGTTGGTTTGTGCAATTTTTTTTTTCTCATGGCTATGAATTCCCTGAGCCTCACTCCTTTGGGGGATACATTGATGACATTAATTAAATTATAAAGCAAAGTAGTTGAGCTACTAAAACATGAAAAGAAGAATACTCATTTATTCTGTTTTGAGGTGTTAGTTTAAGAAAAATAAAAACATTAAATCAGTATTGGGAACGCTGGATTTGCTGGCTTATCCTAAACAGGAACAAGCTGCTAATCATGTTGACTTGAGCTACTGTGTTCCTCTTTCTCAAATAACAAACAAGTACAATAAAAATTCCTGTCAAAAACAGGCAGTGCTGTAATTTCTTTACCTTAATTTTGGCCAGAAAGTTAAACATTACATTTACTACGCACTATACAGCTGCTCATATTATTTACTAGACACTGTACAGCGTCTCATCTTTTAGTATGTGCATGATGATACAAGGAAGAAACGACGAGCTATCTGTAGGTGCCCAAACCCAGAGCTTCAGAACTACTAGAGCTCATCAGAAAGGGTGCATCTGTTGATGGGGTTTGGAAAGCACAACCAAGGTGACAAAAGCATAGCATGTACGGACAGGGCACCTAGAACAAACGCTACAAATGGGGAGACCAGAGGGCTGGAGAACTGGAAGGTATAATTTGTACATGCGTTATTGGAGAGAGATAAATAATTGGTAAGGCATTCAAAATAAAACAGTTGCATAAGCAGTGCTTAAAAAAAATAAATTTTTAAAAAAGACAGTAGTGTGTCATGTGTTTGAGTCTGGCGGGGTTTTTAGTAGCGGGGTAGGAGCTGTGGGGGATGACTAACGAACCTTCCCAAGGCTCACTGGACTCCTCTGGCCAAGGCCAGGCCCATTAGCACCTTTGCAACTGTGTATTTAAGAGGACCTTATTCAACCCCTTGCTCTTTCTCTTCCTCTTTGTTAACCTTTCCTGTCTTCCCTCATTATCTTGATCTGTCCTTTGTGTTGGGGAGTTTTTTCTGTTGGGAAGAGGGGCAGGTGAGAGGAAAGCAAAGGAATGAGGTCAGTGAGGAAAGCAGGGGAGAAAGGTGCCAGAGCAGAGCATTTCCCCCGAGTCCTGTGGAGAGCGAGAGGGCAGGAGAGGATTGCTGCCAGCTGAGGGGATCGACAGCAGCGAGAAAAATCCAGGATGTAGTGATACATGGAGAACCTCATGCCAGGTGGCAGAGACCATGCAGGAGCAGAGGACATGCCTGAAGCGACCCATGACACTGGGTGGGACATACTCACGTGGAGGGAGAGGGTTGCCTCCTGTGAGATGGACACCATATGGCAGCAGCGGAAGACTGCGAGGAGCCCTCTTTCCTGAGAAGGAAGGATTCCCAGGGACAACGAGTGATGGCCAGACAGACGGCCAGACAGACGGCACCCCTGTACCCCCCCTACCCCGATGCGGGGAGGAGGTACCCAGGAAGATGAGAGGGGGGTGGGGGGAGTCTATTTAACATCTGATTGTATTTATGTATTCCTCTCACTATCCTACTCCGAGCTAGTTGATAAATGGTTGTGGTAAAATTTGTTTTTTCCTCAAATCTACTCTGGTTTTTGCCCATGACCATAAGTAGTGAATAAATCCTCCCTGTCCTAATCTCAATCATTGTGCCTTGTTAGTTGAATTTTTCTCTGTCCACATCCCTGTGGGGATGGAGAGAGGAGTGAGTGGCTGCATGGTTCTTTATTGTCAGCCTGGGCAGTCAGCTTGAACCATGACACTGTGTAACAGGTATTTATATAAATATACAAGTTTCCAAGTACAAATTCTACAGACCTAGTAAGGCCATTACATAAAGAAGTACATGAAACAACAGATTTCCTGTACATCTGAGTGGTGCAGTTGACGGCCCTGAGGGACGGGATGCCATGCAGAGGGACAGACGAGCTGGAGAAGTGGGCCAGTGTGAACCTCGTGAGGTTCAACAAGGCCAAGTGCAAGCTCTCCCATCTGGGTTAGGGCAAACCATTGTATCTGTACAGTCTGAGGAATGAAAGGAGCCAAGAAGAATTTGGGGGTGTTGGTAAATAAAAAGCTGGATATGAGCCAACAATGTGTGCTCACAGCCCGGAAAGCAAATCGCATCCTGGGCTGTATCCAACGCAGCTCTGCTCCACTCTCATGAGACCTCATCTGCAGTTCTGTGTCCAGCTTTGGAGTCCTCAGCACAAGAAGGACATGGACCGGTGGGAGTGGGTTCCAGGGGAGGCCACAAAATAATGAGGGCTGGAACACCTCTCCTATGAGCACAGGCTGAGAGAGTTGGGCTTGTTTAGCCTGGAGAAGACTCCGAGGAGACCTTACTGCAGCCTTGCAATACTTAAAGGGGGACCTATGAGAAACATTGGGATGATCTTTTTAGCAGGGTCTGTTGTGGTAGGACAAGGGGTAATGGTTTATAACGTATTAGCTCAGTCAGTTGAGTGTGGCGCTAAAACGTCAAGGTCGCAGGTTTGTTCCCGTTCGGTCCCCATGTGTCGCCTGATCTAGCGACAGGTGGCGTCCCTGGCAGCAGGGAGGCTGGATTAAAATGATCTCTAAGGTCCCTTCCAGCCTAGGCCATTCTATGATTCTATGATTCTAAATGATAAAAGAGGGCAGATTTAGACTAGATGTAAGGAAGATGTAAAGAATTCTTTTAATTCAAGATCAAGATTTGGACTATCGCCAAAGCACGTATGCAGCACAGCAGGACACTCTGCCACAACCCCCCAAAAAAATTACTTAGGAGGCTCTCAACTTCTCTTCAAATGGGCTTACCAGAGTTACATGCCCACCTCTAATGGTGGTTGGGTGGGGGGACACAGCACCTAATTGCACAGTACTGGAGTTTATACTTTGATATTAAAGGGTAATACTGAATCAGAAAAGTAGCATGGCTTTGAACTTCATAAGCCAGCAGGGAAACACTAATTACAGCTCAGATTTCTAATAAAAATTTTACTTAATTTTCATGCTACATGGTGTGGAAAAGTTTAGTTTCTAAAAGGCTTCCAGTCACAGCGGAAATTTATCATTTTCCAAGCTTAAATCAAATTCATACTAACTCAAACTCCTCTGAAGTCACCTTACACCTAGAATTATGTTTGGCTCTGCAGTTACTCACAGGTACTGGCAGAAGGACTCCAAAATGAGAAGCGAGGAGCCTGTGAAATGCTGATAGTGCTCTGTTGCTGAGGTTGTCACAGCGACAGTGCTGCATGTGCTTACTGACTGCATCTGAAAACGTGCTGTTGGTTTCAGTAAGTCTTTATTTAAGAACAGCACTGCAATGTATAGCATTGCTTTAGTAAACACTGCTTCCATTGTGAACTCTTTCCACCCCACCTCTTTCTACATATTTAGTATTAATATTTCCACATAACAGGATTTTTGATCCAGAAAGAAGAAAAGTGGTTTCATCTGTGATATTTTTATTACCTTTTATTACTGGAAAGTGTTCTGTTTCCTTTAGGCTGAAACTTAAGTTTGTCTATGGTTGTCAAGTAATATTTTTCTGCCACCTGTTAACAAGAGATTTAGAAATGTAACTTAGAGCTGCTAGATAAAGCTAATTCCATGCTAGCACATAGATGGATCTAAATAAAACAAGGTAACATGAAGTTTTATTCCCAGTGTTATGATTGAGCTGACTTTTGGAATAATCTTCATAAGCCTTTAAAAAAAACCCCACAAATACTCTGTTTAACATCTCTGGAATTATTAGTTTAGATTTAGGAGCACTGGCACACACATATTCCAGAGAATGCAAGGATAAATGTTCTATGACAGTAACTTTACTTATAATCTGCAGATGCACTTAAAATTGCAATAAAACATCAAGAGATTTCCTTTTGAAATGCACAGATGAAATGCATCCCTTTAGATAGTACAGTCACTCTTGTAAAACTATTAAAAGCATTTGGGTGCCACGTGATCTTCACTTTCCGTTAACCTTTCAGGACTGGGAAAGCATTTCAGTGCACACTGAACAGAAAACAAAGAAATACCTCACTACTCCCGCAGCAAGACGTCTACATTACCTGTCTTTAAGTCAACTTGCAACGTCATGCCTCATATAACTAAACCAATACTAGACAAACTTAGATGGTCTTTCCTGTGTGGCCTGCCCTAGGTGATCCTCCTTTGGCAGAGCAGTTGGACTAGATGATGTCTAGAGGTCTCTTCCAACCCCAAAGATTCTACGATTCCTCAAAAAATATCTTACTTCCATCCATAAACGCTGGCTGTAACCCTCTTATAATGGCATTGAAAGAAGCCTGGCTCCTCCTCCTTCTGCCCTGAGGAGAGCGGCCACAGATCTTCCTTTCCTCTAGTGTTTACTGGGCTTATTGCAAAGGCTGATTTAATTCCTAGTGAAAAGCGACATGGCTCATGGTTTGTTTTTCTAGAAAGACAGTAATCTGAAGAGTCTTCAATTTTCTCCTGTGGTGGTTTGGCCCTGACTAGAGGCCAGGTGCCCACCAAAGCTGCTCTGTTGCTCTCCCTTCTTAGATGGACAGGGGTGGGAGAGAATATAACAAGAGGCTTGTGGGTCAAGAAAAGAACAGTTTAATAAAGTGATAGCAAAAAGCCGCATGCAGAAGCAAACAAAAATATTCTCTGCTTCCCATGGGCAGGCAATGTCCGGCTGCTTCCCGGGCAGCACGGCTTCAATACAAGTACTGGCTGCTCCGGCGGACAAACGCAATCAACGAATGCCCCCCACTTCCTTCTTTCTTCTCACTTTTTATCTAAGCTGACATCATAGCTATGGAATACCCCTTGGGTCAGTTCGAGTCAGCTGGCCCACCTGTGTCCCTTTCCCAAGATCTTGCTGACCCTCAGCCTCCTCTTGGGGGGGAATGCTGGAAAACCACCGCCTCTGTGAGCCCTGCTCAGCAGTAGCAAAAACACCAGGTTGTTACCAACCCCTTTCTAGCTACCACTACAGAAACACAGCACTGAGAGCTGCTGTGGGGAAAATTAACTCCATCTCAGCTAGACCCAACACGTGTCTGAACACGTCAGTAAGCGCTCCAGCCTGTGCATGGTGAGCAGAGGAAGCACACTGGGAAGATCAAAACCTTGCTTTTTCAAAGGTAGGGGGATGTCTGCATGTTGTCATGGAACTACAGCCTCCAGCTCAGTCTGTTTACTTCTACACTTGGACAAAAACATCACAGAATCAGAAAATGTGCTGCATCAGAAGGGACCTTTAAAGGTCATCTAGACCAATCGCCCTGCAGTGAGCTCGTTTCTATGCCCTGGTTTTGATTTCCTTAAAGATAAGCAGGTGG